CGGCAGGGACAGTATCAGAGCCCCCAGCCGCTCCTCCGAGGGCAGGTCCCGGCTGTGGACACTGGTGTTTGAAGCCGGCCGTCTAAACGAGCTCCAGGAGGGGCGCTGCCCCCAGCCCGGTGATCCCAAGCCACCCACCACGGTCTGCAGCACCAACCGCCCCTCACAGATTAGTTTAGCTAGGCTGGGCACATGCACTGCTTTTACTTCAACAAACACGAAACAGCAGCCTTTAAACTACAGAATCCCATCTTCAGATTGTGCAATGTGAAAAAACGTAATCAATATAAGTAAAAACTTAACCATTTTCCTGGCCTTACATGAAACCCAGAGCCAACACTCCATCCCCAGGCCCTTCTCAGAGCAGCAGCCCCAGCTGTCCCTCTGGTCACCCAAACGACTGTGACCTCATGGAATACAAACCCACAAGGATTACAGGCAGCCATGCAGCTGGCAGTGTAACAGGTTTTACCAATTCATACATTTTGAAGATGATAAGATTTTTCTCCATTTTAAAATCTGCCTGCGAAACCRTAAGCTTGGCTGTTAATTAGTAATAAAAAACGCACCAAGTCAGTAACATTTACCAGGAAAGGTGCAAAACCCAAAACCACAGGAAAACACATGTTAGCAAAGAAATTATATATATATGTGACTTAAGATGTGCAGGAGGTATTCAACAGAAGTAGTTAGGACATTTTTACACCACAATTTACAGGGACAATAGTTTACACAAGCATTTAATAATAATAATAATAAATATAATAATAATAAAGAAGGCTTCCAGGCATAGCAAATTTAATTTCCTGCTGTCCTTGGTATACAGCTAACTTCAGCATCACCTGGGACAGAAATTAAGTTGAACACAGATGTAAAGCCAGATTAGGACATATCACATGTGAACCTTTCCCCCTTTTTCTGATCCTAAAGACCAGGCAGGTTTAACAGCCAATAAATCACATTCACTGCTCACACACCAAACTGACATTCTTAATATCCAAATGATTTAGAAAAGAACAAAGGCTCAGAACATGGAAGCTGACACTCAAGCCAGCATTTACCCTCTGGCCACCACACCTTACATGGTTAATGTCATTCCTGACACACAATTTGGCTGAGTTTTGCAAACTTCATCTACTTGATCTAAACCAAAATCTGAGTTCTGAGCAACTCCTGAGCTGTAATTCCCCATTCCTCTCCAAAATGAAGRGCCAAGACACCAATGCAGTGTTTACCCTAGGCTATTTTATTTACAATATGTACAGTTCCTACAGAAAACGATTTCTCACAGAGGATATCAAACAGCAACCCCCCGGCGTGGCTCCGATGTGGGCGCTGCCAGCGCAGCCAGCGCAGCGCAGCGCAGCGCCCGCGGCCGGGCAGCTCCGGAGGCTCCGGGCGGGTCCGGGGGCACCGGGCGGGTCCGAGCTCCGGGGGCACCGGGCGGGTCCGAGCTCCGGGGGCACCGGGCGGGTCCGAGCTCCGGGGAGGCCGGGCGGGGTGCCAGGAGGCTGGGCAGGATGCTGGCACGGAGCTCCGGAGGGCAGCAGCTGAGGTAGATGCAGGATGCGGGAGGCACTCGCTCGGCTGGGCGCGTCCGGGGTCCAGCCGGGCCGGTGCAGGGGGCTGCAGCTGGCTGTCACTCTCTAGTCAGCAACTATGTCACTGCTGTGATCTGCTCACATTTCACAAAATGCTTTGGACTCCTTCAGGATAAAAGGCACTATGTAAATCTACAGGAACAACGCTCGCTATTTTCGTAGGGAGAATTCGGATGGGTCATTAACAACATGTTGCTCTGATGCTGCGTACCATGAAATTACATCCTTATTGCTTAACGCTTGTATTAYCATTACCTTAATTTAATGCATTCACTATTATCCAGATAATTCCAAAATCTGAATAAAGAAATGGAAAGCATGACAATYTTGAAGACTGTATACTTGTAAGTTTTTTTTTAATGAACTAAACAAACATACTGCACCTGAGAAACCCTCCTGTCTTTCTCTTCTCTTCATAGGTGTGTTTCCACATTTGAATTGAACAAATTACTTGTGCTCCAAATTTTTTTTTTTTCAGAAAACCCTTCAGTCATTGGAAACTGCATATGGAATGCCTCCAAGTATGGAACTTCACCAACCAGTGTGGGAATAGCACAAATACTGAAGCACATAATATCCAGTCATCTAAAAACCAAAAGGCACCCAAAATCTACTTTGTTAGTGGCTTTTTCTTCTGAAATAGGGTTRTGTTTTTTAAGATAGTCCCTAAAAGCTGCCAACATCCCATAAATTAGTATGAAAACAGTGACATTCAGATACAAGCTCAWTTTTATATCAGTCTAAACACTAAATACAATTAGGGCTTACTACTGCTGACCAGAGCCTTGGATTCCACAGAAACAGTTTGGGAATGAATCCTGACATTTACTGAAAGCCTGTAGAGACAATCCAAGTACCAGCAAAAACACCACGGGGACGGTGCAACTCTCACCAGCTTGATGGAAATGCAAACCAAAGGAAAGCTTTCTCCACTTAAGGCATGCCAGTTAAGCACTTCCCTCTATCGCTAACCTACACACTCAGACAACAAAAATMAAAGTAAACAACTAGTCTGCCTTGACTGGAAATAAGAGACAGTTTAAAGCACTGCAAGATACAAACTAAAAAGAAAATCAAACATACCTAGAACTTGCACTTTTTGTTTTGGTTATGAATACAGGGAACACATTACCAAGGGAATCTATTACTCTATGAAAAGACCTTACCTTYAGAGACTCCAGATTTCACTTTACACCATTTATAATATTAGACTTGAGAATCTGGACCACAAAATTTTGTACAGGCAGACAGAGTCCAGTCTACYACAAAGACTCTACTACAAGCTTTACAAACAAACTAGTAAAATAATTTCTCCATTTGTCTTTTTTRTACATGGCTCCTTCCTGGAAAACCTTTTATTTGTTAAGCTCAAATGTGACTATTTAAGAGGTAAAAAACCCAAAACCCAAAACAACCTCCAAACCCCAAAACTATTAAACAGAAAAGCCCACAAAGTTTCCCCAAAACAACCAATAAGGATTATACAATTGTCAACACTTAAGGAAAAAAAACACACCTTTAGTAAAATSTCATGAATGAAAATGTTTCCCAAAACTCTATTTCCAAGGAGAGGAGAAATCTTCTTCAATGTCCATGTCATCACTCATCGAAAAAAATTTTATAGAAAATTTTATTCAACATACAACATTTTCCAGCAAAAAAAGGCAATATACAGGAAGAGGAGTTGTACACTGCGGCTACAGAAACAAAATAAAATACTGGAAAAGAATGTAAAATTAAGTGTGAATTGCTGATTCTATCTTTACTGCACTCAAAACTAGACACGCGGCTGGCATTAGCTCCAAAGAAAAGGAAGCAGTCTGGGGACTGAAATAAAACTACACACAATGAATATCAACATCAGTGAAATTCACTTGCAGACTCACCCAATAAAATTAACCTCCAAGTGTTAAATTGTACATGTTCATTCATTAAATATACAATTTCTTTTTTCATTTTTTTTTCTTCTTTTTTCTTTTTTTTTCCTCCTTTTTTATACAAAGTCAACAGCTTACTAAACACTAGTGAGCATGCCCTCTGTGCTAAAAGGCTAGTTCTTGTGTTTTCCCCATCTCTTCCCATGGTAACTAAATTAATGGTATTTATAATCTTTTCACTTGCTTTTGCCAACTTTTGAGTGTCATTCTATTTGCCAGAAGATGGCATAATCAATCACAACG